CGGCCGGCTCCTACGACGGTTATGTAGGTGAGTGCCGTTGGTAGCATCGACGAAACGAAGATGGAAACGAAGGAACGGATTGATGCAACCAACCAACCAACAACACCTGTTTCGCCTCGAGTAGAGTAGCAATACAGACCGCGGAGCAAGACTCGCTCTCGCCGCGGGAGTCTAGAGCCTTAAGTCTGGATCATCATTCAGTGGATTGCCCTACCGCGACCAACCGAGAAGCTGTGCCTGCTACGCCGGTGGTTCGCATCGGCATTTCGATGATAGTCGCCGCGCCGCGTCTGGCCTGCAAGGGGGGTCGCACGGCGCTTGGTGCGTTCCAGTGGCTCGGTTCTTGGTTTTTCTGGTGTACTTACGTGTGCGAAGTGACGACGACCCGACCTTCAAGGATAAACGTCAAGGATGGGTGATGTGATAGGACTAACACCAACACTCTTAAGGCTAGCCATTCATAACGCAGAAAAGAGCAGGTATCGTATCGTATCACTTTTTTTTTTTTTTTTTTCGCGATATCGATCACCATCCAGGTTTGTTGCCCATGGCCCACCATCTTCCTTTGACCTTTTCAGTTGAAGGCCATGGTTCGATGGAAAAACGAGCAGGCCGGATATGGCATTTTTCAATGGAAAGATGGAGGGTGTGACGAGGCGTAGCGAGGCTTGAGGAAGAAGCTGGCACAATTGACAAAAAGCTGGTAGCGACAGCAGCCTGTCGAGAGAAAAGGTCAAGTGAGGGGTAACACAAACACGGGCACTCCCCGAGCCACGTGTTTCTCGAGTCGGTTGGTTGAGGTTCACGTCGGTTCGGGTATGTGGCCCGGATCGATGTTGTTGGTGATGGAGGGCACGTTCGGCGTTTCGAAAGTGGCAGTGTTTGTTCATGTTGGGGGCTTGAATACATTGGGCGGCTGGGAAGGGGTTAATTTGTTAGTGTGTGTTAGGGAAACCAACGAGCCTAACAAGGTGGAAGGAACACTGGATGTTGACCGTGGCTTGTGGCTTGCATTTCTGAGTTGGCTCAGCTCAAATGACTGTTTATACAGAGGCATGAACTCCTGGAGGAAGATTTCTTGGTCAAGTCGGAGATTTGATGTTGTGTTGACAACTGGAAAGAGTGAATGTGTTGATGTTGACGGGCAAATTCGATGTTGGATAACAGAGAAGTGCTACAGGTGGGGTAAGTAGAGGATATTAGTTCTCATATACAATTCGCACCGTATTCATAACGATCGGGACCACATGTCTGCTTACACCTGCAACTTTGGATGCACTGTTCCTGCTTGGCCATTTGCATCGCCTCATTCGACCTTCCCTCAACACCACCACCAGCATCGCCGGGGAGTCATCGGCAACTTGACCCATTCTGTCCAGCACCTTGCACCTCACTTAAATGGCTCCAGATCCCCTTTTCCGGGTTTTCATCATTCCCGGGACCTAACGTTGTGACATCTTTACCAACTCCCGGGCAGTATATTGTACAAATGAATATCAACATATCAGCATCCCTCGGACGTCATCAACAATCAGTATGTCAGCAATAACTCTACCAACATACGAGGAGGCTACCAGGAAAGCGGACTGGCTGGAGCTGGTTGACCCGTACATCCCGATCAACGACTATGCCCGACTCTGCTGTGTGTCCCGGCGCTTCAACAAATATTTCCTCCCGAAGCTCTGGTTCGACCCGTTTGCCATGTGCTACGCCCTCGGGCCAATAACCAAGCCTGATGGAGAGAAAATTCCGAGGACCGATCTGTTATTGCGTACCGTGCCTTATGCCCGCTTGAACACCCGTTCCCTGGTGTTCGCTTTCACTCCACGCATCAAGGACTGGCTATCCATGCTCGGCCGTGCACCCGGAGCCTTTCCTCCCTCCTCCTGGTTCCTCAACTTGCGCTGTTTAACCCTGCTTGATTGTCCTCCCCCAGATGACCACGAGCAGATCATCCAATTCAGCGCTAGCTGGTTTCCAAGACGGCCATATGTCGTTTCTGCCGTCAGGTGTTCTCAACTGCCAGTACAATGGCCAGACTATGAACAATTCCGGAACCTCATCGTCTACTTGGATGATTCTTACATTCACAAGCGGCATGGACACCCTCATCCGACCTCCCTCCTCTTCAAGCGTATGCCCCGCTTACGTATCCTGAAGGCGACAGGCCACGATTTGGGAGACACCCACGCTGCAGAAATCCTCCGTAACCTGGGGCGGAGGTTATGGAGTCTTGATCTATCCAACAACGGGTTGACTAATCGCTTTCTCAAAGACGCCTACCGGTTTTTCGGATTCACTCGCTTTAGGCAGGTCGGGGGCCGTAACGAGGATGGATTGTGCACATGCTTTGGCCACGGCCATCGCTACGAATTGGAAGGCTCTATATGCAGTAGCACGAATGGTTTCTTTATTCACGAGACACCTTGGACCGAGGACTTGCGTTTGTATCATCCCCGGAGGTACCATGAGGACAGCCCGGAATATGCAGAGGATCCCGATGCAGAGTCTCGCGAGGTCAGAAAGAGAGCTCTCGATGACTCGCTTGATGCTGTCATCAAAGCCATCGGCATGCAGGGTGTTCATTTGTTCGATTATCTTCAGCCTCCTTTCCTTGGTATCACCCATCTCTATCTCAACCAGAACCCCATGCTCACTGTGAAAAAAATTCAGAAGCTCATTGAGTATGGATTTGAGCAGTTGCAGCGGTTCGAGTGCGACTCTATGCTGTTCATGCCTGAAAAAGACATGTCTCGATACGACGGGTACTACCACGACTCCAGAGTTGTACCATCATGCGTATCTGGCTCCAAGAACCAGGCAATATCCGGCATCTTGGGTCTCTCTCATCTCTTTCGCCCTGTCTTCACCAACCTACAAATCTTGCGTATCCATCACTCACTTGTCACCAATCTACCCTCGCTAACGGGCTTTGATGATCTTTCTGCCATGGAGAAGATATGGTTTGCCGAAACCTTCCTCCTCCCTCGAGCCGATTTGGTCTTTCCCAACCCCTTCCACCCAGACATGAACCCCCGACTGAGTTCCTTGACCTTGACGCACATCCCACGGTACTCTACCGGGACTTTGATCGAGAGACTCAAGGGATTGCTGAAAGCTGCATGGTTTCAGGAACAAACAATTGCCAAATTAAGGGCAGAGTATCGCCGGGTCCAATCACGTTATCAACCACCGCTGCTGTCCGGACTGCGCAAGATCTTCCTCGAATTCGACCCTGACCCGCGTGACGAGCAAGGGAAGGCCCAGATGGGAACTGATGCGTACGAGGGCTTTGATGCCGAAGCCCTGCTCAACAGCGGTGCTACTGACGAGTTTGGAACGTTTGGGGGGTTCACCAGCCGCAACACCAGAAACGGCACAAGCGGCCCATCAACGTCGTCCGCTGTGAGACATGTCAATGCCAACAACAACAGCGCGACAGGGCCCCGGCGGCAACAACCGCAGGACAGCTCAGAGTTGCCCCGACTGGCCGCCGAGACACCGGAGGTCCGAGCGGTGCTTCAGTCTCGGTATCAGCAATGGTCACAGGGAGTTGACCATTGGGCGCGTGGGAAGCTTGATTGGAGTCGACCAACTTACGTGACGGACCCCTTGAGGCCAAAAAGAAACCCAAAGGTATTCATTGGGTACAACAAGGACAGCCCAAACCAACCGGTGCTCGTCAACAATGGGGTATCGCCGTCTGGGCTAGCATCCTCATCATCAGTTCAGGGGCCATTCGATTCACTACAATCCCCGGACTGTCCACAAGAACATGTCGAAGAATCCCGAACGCCTCCTGCATTACCAGTATCAATACAATCAATTACTGGCTATAACACAAGACGAGCTGACTCATCACCACCCGCGTACACAGCTTCACCCACTCCAGCCCGACTTCCTTCCACTTCTCTTTCTCAAGTGCCACTCCCATATTCCACCACCTCCCATGCCTCGTCTTCTTCACTACAGCCTCCTCGTCCATCAGAAAACCCAGCTCCACTAACCCCCATCCCTCCCTGCTACACCTCCTTCCCCTACTTCCTCTCTCTCGAAGAGAAACAAGCTTCCCTGACCACCTACCACCTTCTCATCTCCCGCGCTCTATGGTTGCATCCAGAAAGTGTACGTTCTGCTAGTCTCAACGCTGGCCTCGGTGGCCCTAGCGCCGCCGAGCAAAATCGCATCCTACTACAACTCTTCCATCCCATCAACGCTGCCACCCCGAGCATGGTTCGGGCAGGGGTGCCGACACAGTTGCCCATACAGCAGCGGGATCTGGAACTGGAACTGGGGCGGTGGGTGGTTAGATATGAAGAAGAACAACAACGGGTGGAGGCCGAGTTAGTGCACCCTCATGCAAATCGTTATGAAATTGCGCTGCTTCGTCAACGGTCAAACAGAGTTCTTCATTATGGACAGCGCGTGGAAGAGCTACGTCAGGCGACGAGGAGAGCTCAAGATCAAGCTCAAGAGAGGAGGGGAGGCCCCCCCGAAATACCAACAGGGGCAGGATGTTATGTCTTTTGGAATGCATGGAAAGCGGGTCTGTTTGGGGATGTAATGTTTCCTTCTGTTGATGCCTCTGGCTCCGTCTCTTCTACATCTACCTCTGCCTCTGCCTCCCAGAATGCGCATGGTGGTAGTAGTGGGTTGGATACTGCACCGTCCACCTCCACAAGTACCTCTACCTCTACTTCTACCCCCTCAAATACCTCCACGGAAAGGAGGAGCACGGAAGGCAGCAGGCACAAAAACAGAGACCTCCTAAGAAAAGATATGCGTCGTCCTACACACGAGGAACTAAGCCAGATGAAGGACGTGATTGAAGAACTTAAGAAGTTTAGGGCGTTAACTAGCGGGAGTGGAAGTGGGAGTAGCAGTAGCAGTAGCAGTGGTAAGACTGAGGGTTCCGAAAGCAAGGACAAGGACAAGGACAAGGGAAAGAAAAAGGGTAAACAAAAAGCCACTGTGGTGGGCGGAAGTGACGATGAAAACAGCGAGTCGGAATGGGCAGGTAAACATTGGATGGGCGAGCTGAAGGTTATCAGATATTAGGTATTAGGATGTAGAATAGGAAAACGGCAGCAACCAGCGAAGCGGACATGATTAGTTAAATCGAGCGAGCGAGCGAAGACCTTCCACGGTATCTAGCCTCCATATCTGTATTAGAACTTCGCTATCCAGGTCTATCATCCCAAGGTCTACTATCGCTGACAGGCCTTTGCTATGTGGCTGAGACTTGTATGCCTAGCGGTATAGCTGATATACCTATGCGGTTGGTTTATCTGTGGCGATATGACTCTGCACATACACTCTTCCTTTGGGAGGTTTATGTTGGAAACGGTCTCATCTTGGTCAACTCTATTTCGTTCTGTTATGGTATATAGGTACCTGTAGTCATACAGTTGCTTAACCTCAGTTATGGATGCTCTAGTGTACGGACACAGAAACAGAGAAGCAACGAAACAATGAAGCAGTGAAGCAACGAAACCACGAATCACCACCACTATTTTGTTGCACAACTCATAATTCAAAACCATAAAAAATGCTGGATATCTCAACTGATTTAAAAACATAAGCGCAACAACACCAAGTAATAGCCCCATCATATCCTATCCTTTTCTTCATTTCCTTTCTTCATTTCCTTCAAGTTTCCTGTATGTTTTCCCATTCCCCATATCCTGGTAATTCCTCCAAAAAAGCAAAGCAATAAACACCCACCCATCCATGTACTGTCGTCTTCCAGGGTATAATAAGCATGCAATGAGAGAAAGATCTAAAAATGCGATGTTACACACGCAGCAAAGCTATCAGAAGCCATGTCCATATATATCCATGACACTTGTTCTTCTTCTTCTTTCGAGTTTTCGGTCCTCCTTATTCTCCTCCTCTTCCTGCTCCTCCTTTATCTGCAACGCTTCCAATTTGGATTGACTGACAGGATCACATGCGTCGATTTCTTCTCGAGCTTGGTTCAGGTTGAGGTTGACCTTCATCTTCTTCGGCTTGAGCTTCAATTCTGGCCTGAAGCCCGGTTAGAGCAGCCTGTTCGTTCTGCCGCTGCTGCTGATATTTTTTTTCCCAATAATATTTCCTGCTTCGCTCTCGTTCAAGCCTCTTTCTTCTTGCCCTGGGTGATTCGGTTTGAGCTTGGGCTTGAGCTTCACTTCTGGTTTCTTCAGGTTCAGCTTCAGCGGCTTTCTCGTCCTGCTGCTGCTTTTTCTGTTGCTCGATCCGCTGCCGCGATCTTCTTGCTGACTCTCGCCCTTGTCTTCTCTGGCGTAATTTGACATCCATCTCCTCAAGGGTAATCAGGTCATTTTACATCGCCTGTTGTCCCTGTTGAGCATGTTGCTGAGGCATGACCATCCCCTCCTCTTGCAGCATCTGTCCCTGCTCTTCCTGGCCTTGTTGCCGTTGGGCCTCTTTCTGACCTTGCTCTTGGACCTCATACCGCTCATCTCCTTCTCCTTCCCCATAACCACCACCATGCCCACCACCATGCCCACCACCATGACCACCATAGCCACCCTCATCTCCATCTACATCAACTCCAGGAACATCTACATCAGTCTCAGTCAGTGGAACGTCCTACATTCCCTGCTGATTACCCATCATCCCCTGCTGTTGTTGACCTTGCTGTTGCTGTTGTTGTTGTTGCTGCTGTTGCTGCTGTTGCTGAGCAGCAGCAGCCTGTTGTTGAGCCATCTGCAACTGCATCTGCTGTTGCAACTGCTGCATTGCCATAGGATTCATTCCTCCCGCGGCAGCCATCTGCTGACCCATTTGCTGAGCGGCCATTTGGTTGGCCATACCGTTCATCTGCCCAGCCACCATACCGTTACCACCACCGCCACCCATCTGTCCCTGACCACCCATCTGGCCACCACCACCGTTCATCTGCTGAGCCATGGCCTGCTGAATCTGCTGCTGGGTCATCTGACCGTGTTGTCCACCACCACCACCCTGTCCTGCCATCTGCGCCTGCGCTTGAGCCTGTGCTTGCGTTTGTTGCGCCTTCAGGTAATTCTGGATTACCATAGACTTAGCGTGCGACCGACACTGGCTCTTGAACATCTCCATCTGGTCGGGCGGGATGTTGTTGGGTTGACCTCCCCACTTCTCGGCAAACCCAGGTAGCCTTTTGGAGTATAGCGAAGTAGTCACGTTGTTGATCTGTTGTAGCAAGGCTGGGTTGGAGGAGATGGCGGCCAATTGTTGCTGGCTTATTCCCACCAGTCCGGGGTTGGGGCGGGGGACACCGACGACTTGGCCGGGGGTGGAAACGCCGGGTTGGCCTCCTTGTTGTGCGGCTTGTTGCTGATGTTGGAGGTGTTGAGCTATTTGCTGCTGTTGATGTTGATGTTGCTGTCGCATGGCAATCTGCTGTTGCATCATGGCTACTTGTTGAGGGTTTAGACCAGCCATGTTGATCATACCCGCCTGGCCTGGTTGACCGACCATACCCGCGCGCATCTGTCCTTGCAACTGACCGATGTATTGCTGCTGTTGCTGTTGCTGCATGTTAGCCAGCGTAGCAGAGTACTGCGCAGCGAGATCCCGAGTTCCAGGAGCCATCATGTGTGGTTGTTGTTGTTGCTGCTGCTGACGAGCAGCCATCATCTGTTGCTGAGCAAGCCGTTGTTGTAGCTGGGCTTGTGTCATCTGCCCAGCCATCATAGGGTTGGCATGTCCTTGAATTCCAGCGGCAGCCATTCGCTGCTGCATCATCCTCTGTTGAGCAGCAATATATTGAGCAGCCTGTTGAGCGTTCATGCCTTGTGGGAGTGGAATACCGTTCATCTGGGGCATTCCCGTTTGGGGGTTTATCATGATGCCTTGCTGGTTCGGCATCATTCCAGGTGGTGGGCTGGCCTGGGGCAGGCGGGGTGTTGGGACGACCGAAGGACGGCTCATAGGCGTTGCGTGGACCATGTTAGGGGTGGTGCTGGGCATCCTGGGTGTTCCGGCTGCGTGGCTCTGTTGACTGCCTCTCGCAGACATACTGGCGGCCATGGGAACGGACATCGGACCATGGCTCTGAGCCACACTTGGAGGCCGTGCTGGGCTCCCGCCCATGTTGGAGTTGGAAGCTTGCATGGCCACGCTGTTAACCATGGGTGACGATGCCATCTGTGGTGTGTTTTGCCGGATAATCGGTGATGACACTTGGCCTTGCGATACCTGAGAGAACCTCGCTACACCATTAGGTATGGTGTTAGCCAGGTTAGGGCTATTTTGCATCGTAGCAGGCATAGTATGTGGTGTGCCCATCGAAGTCGGCTGTTGCTGTTGCTGTTGTTGCTGAGCCTGCTGTTGGGCTTGTTGTTGGGCCTGTTGCTGGGCCTGTTGCTGGGCCTGTTGCTGGGCCTGGGCTTGAGCTTGAGCTTGAGCTTGGGCTTGGGCTTGGGCTTGCTGTTGGGCCTGCTGCTGAGCTTGTTGCTGAAGCTGCGCCTGTTGCTGTTGCTGTTGTGCCTGAGCCATAGCCATTTTCCTCTGGTTCTCCTTGTTGATTCGGTCCCGATCCTGTTTCTGTTGAGCGAGGAGCAAGGCCTGTTGCTGTTGCTGTTGTTATCCGCCTGGGCTTGAGCCGCCAACTGGGCTTGAGCTTGAGCTTGCTGCTTCGCTGCCTGGGCCGCTTGAGCTGCCAACTGGGCCTGCTCTCGTTGCTTCACTTGCAAGATCCGCCGCTGTTCGGCCTCCTGGACCTCCTTCTCAGCCTTCTCTTGTTCCACCCTAGCCTTGATTTCTTCGAGAAGCTGAAATTGATTAAACCGCGCCTCGAAGCCTGAGCCAGTGGCTTGGCCAGTACCATCCGACCCACGACCAGCACCAGGAGCGCCAGCGGCCCTGTTTGACCTGCTCTCGTCGCACGCAAGCATGTACTGCTCCATCTGCCTGGCGTGGGCGTCTTCTTCTGCCAGCTCGGCATCCGTCTTCTTGCGTCGCTTGGGTTCGGGTGGGGGATGCGAATGAGCTGGATCTGACACAGTTTGCTGCTCGAGCTTTGCAATGAGCTGCTCCGGGTCTCTTGCGGGTTCCAAGTCGAGAGGTGGCAAGGTGCTAAGCAAGATCTGGGCCTCGGCAGCCACAAGGTTCCTGGGGTCCAGCTCGATCTGGTCCGCCTTACGTTTCCTACTAGGTGGCCCCATGGGTGTCTGCACTGGTGGTGCAGCGGTGCTGGGAGTGGGCGGAATTCCCATAGCTTTGGCCATGGGGTTGCTAATGCCCAATCTCAGATCTTCAGCCAGACTCTCTGCCGTGGGGCGTAGCACAGCGGTCATGATATGGGGCTTGGTCGACTCTTGGTTTCCCTGGCCGTCAGCCTGGTCATTCTGGATGGGAACATTCTCCTTGCCCTTGCCCTTTGTGTCTTCATGCTTGGTGAGCCCGTTGGGCTGGGCGCCCTGGTGTTCTTGGAGAGCCTCCTTCGGGTATGGCGTATACGGCGACGGTGTGACGTAGGGTGACCACCTGTGAATGGAATTGGCATTGGAAGCTGGAGCAGCCTTTGCTGGCCCCTTGGGCGGAGTGGCCGTCAAATGGTTGCGGACTTGGACGATCAAGCAACCGTCGTAGAAGGGAACGCCTGATTGATGAAACTCTCGTAGGAGATGGTGAGGAATAGTCCGACTCTGGATGTGGGGGAGAAAAGCCAGGCCGAAGGGTGACTGGTGGCTCTGGACAGTGTCTTGTTGGTCGAAACGCCAGTGTTTTTGATGGAGGTGTATGATCAAGGACGGTGGGACGCCGGCATGCTTCCTTAGGAAGGCTTTGTCGGTAACTGGAACGTTGAGGGTGACAGCCGGTGCGTCCAGGCAAGTAGCTGAAGTCGGAGGAAGTTGAGCGCTTCCGGGAACGGGGCCATGGGCAGACGGGGCCCGATTGCGAGGGCGTTGGGAGGGGGTGGTCGAGCAGAAGAGCCGTTGGCCATAGCGGCAGACGGGGCGCGTTTGGCGGACATGAGAGGGGAGGCAGAGTTCGGCGAGGCTGTGGTGATGCCGTTGGTCTGGATGCCCGGGGGAATAGGCCGCTTGATCTTGGACGCGCCGGGCGGCGGCGGCAGTTGGGGTTGCGACATCTGAGGCGACGCGCTGATGGCAGTAGCGGGGCCCATTGTGGGTGGTGAGGGTATCCCGTCTGGTGCGCCAGGGGCGACCTCGTAGGTAGACTAAATGTTGTGTCCTCCTATGCGACCGTGTTGACGTTGGAAGGGGATCGGTCGGCGGTCATGCGGTCGGGTGGGTATCGGATGTTCAAAGGTGACTAAGGGAACGTAGGTAGGTAACGCGGAGAGCCGCTCGGTTGCGATGATCCAACGTTTCTGGATGGAGTCCTCTTCTAACCGTCGGACGTCAGCAGCCGAGCATGTCGGGGCTTTGTTTGTCAATGGGGACGTCTCCAGTGGAGGGGGTGGTAGCAATTCAAAGTTGTGGTTGACATGTGCGGTAGTGACGGGTAATGATGATGATGGTGATGGATTGAAACTAACCGATGGAATTGACAAAGACAAGATCTGATGATAAACGCACTGCGACTGGCCTGGTCTTTCTTGGTCGATGTTGGAAAGTGTTGGTCGCAATGTCGAGGCTTGGCACTTGCCCCTTGTGTCAAAGGGATAGAGGTACCTTGTGATGATTTGGAGTAGTTGAGCAGCGCTAGTGGGCGGCTTTAATAGTGATAGTAGGTACTGCTGTAGGGCAGATCTCACTGCAGTGGCTCGCTGTAGCTGTTGCTTTAGTAGGTGTAACCCACTAACAGGATGTAGGGTCACCTGTGTCGGGTGCCCTGTCGGTTTTGTTCCCCTTCGAGCACTTGGGAAGTTTGGGAGTGGCCAGCTCAGTTCGCACCCTGAACATCGACAACGAGGCAGGTGATCTCTGTCAACGATGATCTATGTCAACAGAGAGGGCTTCCACTGTCTTATAAAGAACGTCAAGAACCGAACTGTCAGTGACAAGAACCTGAATGATACGAAACCGACGATATCTGATTACCAGAAAACAAATATCTAGTAAAGGTTTCTTGACGACACCAGTTGCCGATGGTAAAGAAAAAAGAAGGGTTGAGGGGGATGAAATCATATGGTAGGTATATTGAACCTCGAAGCTGGGCTGGCAGAAGGTTGATCAAGGAAGAAGCTCCGGAACTCAACTCACATGTGAAATATCTTTATATACCTTTTTACCGTATTGATGGTATCTTGTTGTAACTTTCAGACGCCTAGCTCATAATACCTAACATCGGGCCCGAAAGAACTGTCGGTGCAAATCGACTCACATTTCTCGGATAAACGTGTGGTGTGCATTGATGGGCTGCGAGAGACGGGAGAGAAAATCGAGCTGATGGAAAACCCGAACCCTCCCTCACCCCTTTCTTGCATGGCCTTACCTACCGTACCTGCTTACATGTCACTGAACTGCATAAAACTTCGGGAATTGCCTTCACGAGAACAACTGGTGTACAGAAGAAGATGAAGAGATGATATGATGTGGACTTCAAGATCCCTGTGAGACTATGTCTTAGTATCAGATGTTGGCAACGCCCGGTCTGGACCTCATCGTGAATAGCATCAGGTTGATGAGTTGATGTTGAAGCTGTTAACAATGTCTCCGTGAGACGAGCGGGATGCAGAAACCATCACGCAGAGAACGTCCTACTCGTCTGTTTCGGCCATGGCTTGAATCTCGTACCTACTTCAGCCCTGTCCTCGACAGCGGGAGAGAACAGCGGTAGAAGTCATTTGGGAACGCTCAGTCTTGGATGTCGGCTTCATCGTCTTTGGAGTTTCCGTCTGCGCATACCCGTTCACATGCTCACTCCACCACCAGGATGTCTGAGGTTCAGTACCCAAGAGCAGAAGACCGGGCCATCCAAATCTTCATATTCTCTGTCCGTCTGTGGGTAGGCTGGTAGGCGCCCAAAGTCCCAAACCAAAGAAACACTGGCCCGCTCCTGTCATTCATGTCCGATCATACCCAATTCCCAAATAGCAGAGTGGTATACAACAGCAGCAACAACAACAACA